TGTTTTGAAACGCTATAGTTATTTCTGTATTAAGGATTCTGTTTCCTTTACAAATCATCTCCACAAATGTTCTTCTTCCGGTAAGTTCATGTGTTCATTTGACGTGTCATCTTTATTTCCTTGTGTTCCTCTTTTGGGGACAATTAATATCTGTTGCGATTTTCTTTATCGAAGCTCTTTGTCTCTTCCAGATATTTATGAGAAACTGTTCTTTGAACTGATGAAATTTGCCACCTCATCTGTTGAATTTAGCTTTGATAACATTATGTGTCGACAGATCGATGGTGTTGTCATGGGTTTCCCTTTAGGCCCTGCACTGGCAAATATATTTGTTAGTTTTCATGAGGAGAGATTGCTTTGTGGCTCTCTTCTTTCTTTATTGTATTGGTGGTATGTGGATGATACTTTCTGTTTATTCAATGATGAAGCTGAAGTCGATCAATTTCTCTCCTGTCTCAATAGTGTTCATCCAGTTTTGAGGTTTAGAAGTACTGCTATGTCGTACTCCAACATTGTTTTTGATCTCACTGTAAAGGAAGTCGACTTTTGCCGGTTTGTACACGCGTTGGGATTCCTTTTGTTCAAAGAAGAGGAAGATAAACCTCATCAAAACTTTGACGCATAGAGCATTGACGATTTTCTCTGAGGTTTTTCTTGATAATGAAATCAATTATGTCACGTGGGCTCTAAGCAACAATGGGTATCCGCATAATATTGTTCATTGTATCATTCGTGACAAAATCTGTAATTTAAAACAAAAATTAAGCCCGCTACGCTAGAAAGATGCCCTGTATATTTGCGAATTCCTTGGATTAAAGCTGGATGTGAAAACCTCTCCAGGAAAATTTCGTCTAGTGTCCATGATTGTCATTTTTCGTCTGAGATTCGTGTCATGTTCAATATCAGGCCGATCCTAACATTCATCTGTAAGCATGTTCGCCCCTCACATCAAGTTAATTCTGCGCATATGATGTTAGTTGCGGAGTCAACTGCAGCGGGACGGCAACACAGAGACTGGATGTGAAACAACACGTGTCAGGTAAGATCAGGATTCTTTTTCATTGTTTACGTTTATATGATCTTTAGCTGTTTCTGGTTCGGTTGTTTATGGCTGTACGCGTCTACGCAACGAGTATAGCGTTACTAACGAGATTTTTATCATTCTCTTTTACATTTTTAACTTATTTAACTAGAAGATGGGATAAAGAAATAGAGGAAAAGAGGCTAGTCTATTGTAATTTGGTCTCTCAATAAAAGGAACTTGCATGATACACGAGATACATGATAAAATCATTTTTTATAAGTGAAGGTGTTGGGGGTTGCACGATTCTCGTGACGCGCGTTACATGAATATATACGGTATATTAAATAAATGATGAAAGAAATAAAAAAAGAAAAAAAAATTTGGCATAATTTGGAGAGGAAATTGAAAAAAAAGTAAAGGATAAGGTTTGCAAAAACGAAAGAAATACAAAGAGAGAAAGAAAGAAAGAAAGAAAGAAAGAAAGAAAGAAAGAAAGAAAGAAAGAAAGAAAAACGTGACAGAATTTGAGAGAAAGTGGAGAAAAACGGATAAGGTTAGTAAAGAAAGAAAGAAAGAAAGAAAGAAAGAAAGAAAGAAAGAAAGAAAGAAAGAAAAACGTGACACAATTTGTAGAGGAAAGTGAGAAAAAGGATAAGGTTAGAAAGAAAGAAAGAAAGAAAGAAAGAAAGAAAGAAAGAAAGAAAGAAAGAAAAACGTGACACAATTTGGAGAGGAAAGTGAGAAAAAAAGGATAAGGTTAGAAAGAAAGAAAGAAAGAAAGAAAGAAAGAAAGAAAGAAAGAAAGAAAGAAAGAAAAACGTGACAGAATTTGTAGAGGGAAGTGAGAAAAAAAGGATAAGGTTAGTAAAAAAGAAAGAACAAACAAGACAGAAAGAAAGAAAGAAAGAAAGAAAGAAAGAAAGAAAGAAAGAAAGAAAGAAAGAAAGAAAAACGTGACACAATTTGTAGAGGAAAGTGAGAAAAAGGATAAGGTTAGAAAGAAAGAAAGAAAGAAAGAAAGAAAGAAAGAAAGAAAGAAAAACGTGACACAATTTGGAGAGGAAAGTGAGAAAAAAAGGATAAGGTTAGAAAGAAAGAAAGAAAGAAAGAAAGAAAGAAAGAAAGAAAGAAAGAAAGAAAGAAAACGTGACAGAATTTGTAGAGGAAGTGAGAAAAAAAAAGGATAAGGTTAGTAAAAAAGAAAGAACAAACAAGACAGAAAGAAAGAAAGAAAGAAAGAAAGAAAGAAAAACGTGACAGAATTTGGAGAGGAAAGTGAGAAAAAACGGATAAGGTTAGTAAAGAAAAGAAAGAAAGAAAGAAAGAAAGAAAGAAAAAAAAAACGTGACACAATTTGGAGAGGAAAGTGAGAAAAAGGATAAGGTTAGAAAGAAAGAAAGAAAGAAAGAAAGAAAGAAAGAAAGAAAGAAAGAAAGAAAAACGTGACACAATTTGGAGAGGAAAGTGAGAAAAAAAGGATAAGGTTAATTAAAAAGAAAGAAAGAAAGAAAGAAAGAAAGAAAGAAAGAAAAACGTGACACAATTTGGAGAGGAAAGTGAGAAAAAATGATAAGGTTAATTAAAAAGAAAGAAAGAAAGAAAGAAAGAAAGAAAGAAAAACGTGACACAATTTGGAGAGGAAAGTGAGAAAAAAGGATAAGGTTAGTAAAAAAGAAAGAACAAAAACGAAAGAAAGAAAGAAAGAAATAAAGAAAGAAATAAAGAAAGAAAAACGTGTATCAGTTTAGAGAGGAAAGAGAGAAAATAATAAAGGATAAGTTTACCAAAGAAGAAATACGAAAGGAATAAACAGAAAGACAAGAAGAAAGAAAGAATGTAAAAAACAAAGAAAGAAAGAAAATCGTAACCTAATTTAGATAGGAAAGTGGGAAAAAATAAAGGATAAAGATATCAACAGAAAGACAAAAAGAAAGAAAGAAAGGAAAAAAGAAAAAGGAAAGAAAGAAAAAATAATTTAAAAAGACAAAAAAAAAACAAATGTTGAAATGCAATAAAAGGCAATCAAATCAAATTTAGAGAATAATACAATCAATAAATGACATGTTATGCGTCATCAACAGATCTGTGGCCAAGTTAAGTCTCGCACACATTAAAAAAAACCCGAAAAAGTGATAAAAAAGAACAAAGAAAATAACAAAACTTTATATGATAGTCACCGAGCGTGTTTGATTGTATTATGGTTGTCAGTGCGTCGAAGCCGGCAGCCTTCCCAATCACATATTTGCCTTCGTTTCGACCCTAACGGCGCCCATTGCACAAATATAAAGATTCCATTTTCTTTTAATACTTGCCCAGTTACGGATAATAGGGTGTTTGATACAATTCTAGCAGGAAAAAGGCAAATAGCGAGAAAAATTACGTTGCGGTAACCTTATAGAAAAAAAAAAATATTGGGGCGGAGGAAGAAAATAGAATATTAACTGTGGAAGTAAGAAAAAATTCGTACAAGGCAAAGTGAAAGAACAGGTATACGGGTGGAGGTGAGATGAGAGGGTTGTAGTTACAAAATGACAATGAGGAAACCTAAAACAACAAACTCAATATGATTCAGTAAAGGAGCAAATGAAGGAACGGATAAGAAAGGAATAACTCAAGGGAATAAAAAAAAGCATGACTGAACTGAAGAAATTTAATAAAAGGAATCAATGCTTTAATATTAACAGTAGTGTGTCGCTCTGGGCTCTTCCGAGCTGGGCAAGAGAAGAAGTTATATCTATGGGTTCGATTATGTTTCAATTATTTACCTTTCTTTTTCGTTGGAACGTTTTGAACTGAGCAACGAGTAAATTCTATAGAAAACAGAGAATGGCTGATACCCAACTCTGCGAGAGAGCGTTTCTGCGCCTGCTTGGTCTCACGCTGTCTACTGACCTGATGTGGAACAACTACATTGAATCAATAGCTTCATCTAGCGCAAGGAAAGTTGGTTCTATGTGTCACGCCAGAAGGGCTTTATCGCCTGAGTCCTTCTTTCAAATCTTCAAATCAACCATGCGTCCTTGTATGGAATACTGCTGCCATATTAGGGTCTGGTGTCCAGGCGGTTCATTTCAACAAACTCCAGAGACAATTGTGCAATGTGATATGTCTTGATCTGGCATCTCGTCTACAGTCTTTTTCTCATACACATGCTGTGGCTACCCTCTGTCTTTTCTACAAATACTTCCATGGCAACTGCTCTGAAGAGCTACTTTCACTGGTACCAAAACCTGCATGAATTTAAGCGTGCTACTAGGTTGGTATCTCGATCCCACCCTTTCACTATTGAAACAGTTAAATCTCTTCTATTCCAAGAGATTCTTCACTCGCACTTCTTGACAGTTGAACTCCCTTCCTCTTACTTGCTTCTCTGATAACTATAATCTTCAAATATTCAAATGTAATGCCAATCGATATCTTCTAATATCTTGATTGTGATCCCCGTCCTTCTCTTTATCCTTTCCTCAGACACCCCTCTTTACTCTTACTTTCACTCTCTGTAACCTCATGCGTGCTAGTGGTACTCCCACCTTGCTTGGGGTGAAATGCTTAAATGATATAGATAGGTAGATATGAGTACATTGAGATAGATAGATTCTTCAAATATTCAAATGTAATGTCAATCGACATCTTTTGATCCCTTGACTCTGATCCTCGTTTTTCTCTATATCATTTCCTCAAACAAATCTCTTTACTCTTGCTCTCGCTCCCTGTAACCATTGCATGCTAGTGGCACTCCCGTCTTGCTTGGGTTGAAATGCTTAAATAATATAGATAGGTAGATATGAGTAGATTGAGATATATTCTTCAAATATTCAAATGTAATATCAATCGACATCTTTTGATCCCTTGACTCTGGTCTTCGTCTTTCTCTATATCCTTTCCTCAAACAAACCTCTTTACTCTTGCTCTCGCTCGCTGTAACCCCTTGCGTGCTAGTGGCACTCCCGTCTTGCTTAAAAAGCTATCTATCTATCTAGATAGATTTGAACGGATTGCGACAGATAGATAGATAGATAGATAGATAGATAGATAGATTCTTCAAATACTCAAATGTAATGTCAATTGACATCTTCTGATGCCTTCATCCTGATCCCCGTCCTTCTCTATATCCTTTCCTCAAACACCCCTCTTTACTCTTGCTCCCACTTCCTGTAACCCCTTGCGTGCTAGTGGCACTCCCGCCTTGCTTGGGGTGGAATGCTTAAAAAATGATAGCTAGATAGATAGATAGATAGACAGAATCATCAAATATTCAAATGTAATGTCAATCGACATCTTCTGATACCTTGATCCTGATCCCTGTCCTTTTCTTCATCCTTTCCTCAAACACCCCTCTTTACTCTTACTTTCACTCTTTGTAACCCCTTGCGTGCTACTGGCACTCGTGCCTTGCTTTTTTAAGAAACAGGTGACCTTTCTGTGGTTTATTATGTGAGAGGACAGCTGGGAAAATTTAGTACACACAGGACGTATTGAGAAAAAGATAAAGGGCACAACATCGTTGAGTAACTATTCAATGACTCATGGGCAATCATTAATAACAGAAGGCGCCCAAGGAAAATAAGCAGATGATAATATGAAGTTGGGACGATGCCGTGGACATGGCAAAATATTCTGAACATACTTATGGTCACTTGGAGAAAATATTGAATGAACTTTTGTTTTTGGATGCAAAAATTTTCTTCATATGCCCTTCCGACTTCACAATCAGTACTTAATACAGATTCTGTGAAATAATGGTTAGGCCGAGGGAAGTTGCTCGTCAAAAGAGAACGGAATTTTAGTCTTATCCAATGATAAGAAAAATGCAAACCCCATACAACGAACTGATACAAAAACACCTCCAGTGGTAATGTCATAAAGTAGAAATAGTGACTCTCTATATTTCTGAGATGAAGTATTATGTACACTATTTACATTATTCGGACTATTGTCCTCATCTTTGTCGCCATATTTATAACAACGTTTCGGACCTTCAGTATCTGTCTATATTTCTGAGATGAGGTATTATTTACATTATTTACATTATTCGGACTATTGTCCTCATCTTTGTCGCCATATTTATAACAACGTTTCGGCCCTTCAGTATATCTCTATATTTCTGAGATGAGGTATTATGTACACTATTTACATTATTCGGACTATTGTCCTCATTTTTGTCGCCATATTTATAACAACGTTTCGGACCTTCAGTATCTGTCTATATTTCTGAGATGAGGTATTATTTACATTATTTACATTATTCGGACTATTGTCCTCATCTTTGTCGCCATATTTATTACGTTTCTGCCTTTCAGTATCTGTCTATATTTCTGAGATGAGGTATTATGTACACTATTTACATTATTCGGACTATTGTCCTCATTTTTGCCGCCATATTTATTACAACGGTTCGGCCGTTGTACGCTCCGGCCTTCTGTCGAACTGAACCCTTTATTTCGCTCACTGGGGTAAACTGTTCTTGTTGCACGAGCCATGTTGTAATGGATGTCAATTGTCAGTTATCTCTTGTTAATTCATCTCTCCAAGTTCTCCACTGCCTTAACCAGTGAACTCACAACTCTTTGGGTCCTGTCACTGGATCTAACTAACGCCTCTATCCACTGTGCCATGTCGGGTTCAAATTCATTTTTAAATTTAAATTTATTCCCCTGGCACATGTTTATTTGTCAGATAACCGTTTATCCGACGGATAGAAATTTATATGTTAAATACCTGCCATATAGCTGTTTATGTTTAGACACCCGTTTATGAACCTGATAAAAGGGTTCAGCTCCACATTCCAAACACCTGAAGAAGGCCGGAGGGTACAACGGCCGAAACGTTGTAATAAATATGGCGACAAAGATGAGGATAATAGTCCGAATAATGTAAATAGTAGAAATACTGAAGGTAACATATTCTCTGTTTTTTTCTTGTATTTTAGCAGTACATAATTGTGCCACAATGTTCGAAAATTCTTAATCTCTGTATATAAAACAGAGGATGTCTGTGTGTCTGTATGTTTGATACATTTTCACTCGAGATCCGTACAACCAACTTTTAACAAAATTGGCTTATACATTGTACAAAGTAAGAAATAGGTTCGTAGTGTAAAAAATCGATAATTGTTAAAAAGTCAATAATCAATAAAACCGATCAAAAATCGATAAATTCAACTTTTCCCTACGATTTCGTTCAAAATCGGTATGTAGTTTACTTACATCATGACGAGCTCAACGATACCTCATTTTTATTTATACGCCACTGCGAAAAACGAAAAATCGGTTTCAACACAAATTTTAAACTAAAAATTTCCTCAATTTTCACATTTTTCTCCTTCTTTAACCTCTAGCGTGAGTGGCTCTTGGGGCTTGTGCATATTTTTTTACCATGTTTTCTACATTCCTTTTTCGTTTTTACTTCCGTTTGTCTATGTTTCTGTTTTCATTTTTATATTTTCCCAGTGCAACTAACCTAAATGAGTTACGATTTTCACTGATTCTTTTCGACCTCACATAATAACAAGATCTTCTCCCCCCACTCCTGCTCTTTTTCTCATCTCTTTTACGTATTTTATTTACTTATCTGTTCACTGCTCCCTTCTTTCTCGAATTCATTCATTCATCTAATTTGTTTTGCTTGCGTTCCGGATGAAGAATGTCCATGATTGGCTTCCATAATTTAATATAAGCGGGTATTAGACAGAAGGCTTTGCGTCGATAGTATAAATGGCTCTCGCTATCAAAATCATGAGCTCGGCCATTTTCATCGTTGTCATTTTTTTGTATATTAATTTACTTACTGATAAACTGGTACAGTTAGAGACATAGAAAAAAAAGTAACATACACACATGAACGCTCGAAATAATACATACAAAAAACAGGGTACGCCCTATCTATTTCTCTCTCACGTTTGATTGTTGTACAAAGAGTGTAACGGGAGAATACATTTTGAGAGGATTTTATCCTAAGCCGCGAATCTTCCTCTGAAAATCAACTCAACATTAATCGCCTTTTAATTATGCACGGAAGATATATTCATATTGTTTAAGCGAGTAACGTCTCTTTAAAAAAGGGTCTACGGGTGTGCGTACCCAAGCCCATGTGGGTGTTGTGTATGTGTGTGTGTATGTTTATGTGTGTGTATGTGGGCGTATCTATGTGTATGTGCATTTGTGTGTATCTGAGTGTATGTGCATGTACGTGGATCTGTGTGTGTATGTGTGATGTGAATGTATGTGTATGTTTGTGTATCTTGGTGTGTGTATGTGCGTATGTCTATATGTGCGTATCTCTGTGTGTATGTGTGTATCTGGGTTTGTGTATATGCATGTGCGTGTATTTGTGTGTGTATGCGTATGTATGTGTGATGTGTATGTATGTATATGTGTGTATATTTGTATATCTGAGTCTGTGTATGTGTATGTGTATGTGCGTATGTCTATGTGTGGGTATCTCTGTGTGTATGTGTATGTGAGTATTCGGGTTTGTGTATGTGTATCTGTGTGTATCTGTGTGTATGTATGTGTCTGTATGTGTATGTATGTGTGTATATGTATATGTGTGTATGTGCGTCTGTGTGTGTATCTTTGTGTGTTTATGTGTATGTGTATCTGTGTGCGTATGTATGCTTATGTGTTTGTGTGTATGTGTATCTGTGTGTATGTGTATCTGTGTGTATGTGCATATGTGTGTGTTTCTCTGTGTGTCTGCGTGTATGCATATGTGTCTATTAAGCAAAACTATTAAGATGAAATTTAATATCCCACGTGCTCTTGATCCAAGAAATCAAGAAAAATAAATAAATCAATAAATAAAATTAAAAAAAAAGAAATTAATTAATTAATTAAAACGACATCCGTCAGTATTTACGGGATGAGGAGTTATCATTATTTATATTATTTACATGCCTACTATTATCCTGATCTTTGTTATGGTTACCCCGACCTTCAGGCCGTTGCAATGACCGGCCTTCATCAGGTGTATGTCGATCCGCGTAACCTTCATGTGTGTGTATGCGTGTGCGTGTGTATGTGTATGTGTGTGTACATGTGTATGTGTTTATGCTTGTGTATATGTATGCGTGCATCCTGTGTGAATGCGTATGTGTGTGTGCATGTGTATATGTATATGTACATATATCTGGGGGTATGTATGTGTATGTTTGTATGTATGTATTTGATTGCATCTGGATGTGTGTGTATATATGTGTATATGTGTATGTGCGTGTATCTGTGTGTGTGTATGTGTATGTATGTACATACACGTATCTGGATGTGTGTATGCCTGTATGTGTGCGTATGTATATGTGTGTGTATCAGTGTATGTGTGTATGTTTATTATTTACATTATTCGGACTATTGTCCTCATCTTTGTCGCCATATTTATTACAGCATTTCGACCGTTGTACGCTCCGGCCTTCTTCAGGTGGTTGGAATGCCAAACTGAACCATCTGTGTGCGTATGTGTGCATGGGTGTGTATGTGTGTGTATCTGTGTGTATGTGTAGGTAAGTATGTGTGTGTATGTGTCTCTGGATATGTCTAGGGATTATCTTCTAGTTCAAAGTTAGCAGGGCTGAATTATTGCCAGACTCGTTTTCACTTAATAAAACTGTGTTTTATTCGGCGAATAAAAATGTGTTTCATTTTACGAAGGTTTCGGAAAGATTGGAAAAAAAAAGCCGAAAAAAGTGTAAACGATGGTAAGATTTGGCGCCATTCAGAAAACAGATTTGCCGAAAACAGAATACGAAGGATTGGGATGTTATAGTGAACAGATTTACTGTTACTTAATCTGTTGATAACAGTCAATGAGTGAAAATTAATTGAAAAATGTGAGAGGTGTTCATGGAAAAAATGAGGGAAAAAAAAATCTATCGCGAAATATGAGTAAAGTAAAAAAAAAAAATGTTGAATAAAAAGCAGTCATAAAATGAAAGGAAAAAAAAGAACCCTTTGATAGAAAATGGAATAAAAAGAATGAGAAATTGAGCTAATATCAGTAAATAATTTAAAAAAAAACTTCGAAAAAGAAGGAAATAGATGAAGAAATGAAAGGATGAATAAAAAGATAGAGAGGGAGAAACTAAAAAATGCAAATTGTTGAGGAGACGAAAGAAGGAAAGAAAAGGAAGTTTGTTAGAAGGAAAATAGAAATAAAGGAACGAAAGAAAAATATAACGAAAGAAAAAAACAAAAACAACTTTAAACAAAAAGAAGGAATGAAGAGATGACGAAAAGAGAGTAAAAAGAAAATATGTAAAAGATTAAGTGACAAATAATTTAAAAAAGGAAAGACTGCGAAACAAATTCAGAAGAAAAAAATAGAAAAGAAAGAAAGAAAGAATGAAAGAAAGAAAGAAAAGGAAATAGAAAAAAGAAAATGAAGGCGGACACAAAAGTATAACAAATTAACGGGAGAAAAAGAATTAAGTAGAAGAGAAAAAGAGGAAGGTAAGGCAGAGAAGAAGAAAAAGAAGTAGAAGGAAAAGAAAAAGAAGGAGATGAAGAAGACGAAAAAGAAGAAGAAGAGGTAGAAGAAGAAGAAAAAGAAGAAGATGAAAAAGAAGAAAAAGTAAAAGAAGTAGAAGAAAAAGAAGATGAAGTAGAAGAAGAACGAGAAGAAAATAAGAAGATGAAGAAGATAAAGAAGGAAGATGAAGAAAAAGAAGAAGAAAAAGAAGAAGAAAAAAAAGAAGAAAAAGAAGCAAAAGAAGAAGATGAAAAGAAGAAAAAGCAAAAAAAGAAGAAAAAGAAGATGAAGTAAAAGATAAACGAGAAGAAAAAGAAGATGAACAAGAAGATAAAGATGGAAGATGAAGAAAAAGAAGAAGAAAAAGAAGCAAAAGAAGAAAATGAAAAAGAAGAAAAAGCAAAAAAAGAAGATGAAGTAGAAGAAGAATGAGAAGAAAAAGAAGATAAAGAAGAAAAAGAAGCAAAAAAAAGAAGACGAAAAAGAAGAAAAAGTAAAAGAAGTAGAAGAAAAAGAAGATAAAGTAGAAAAAGAACGAGAAGAAAAATAAGAAGATGAAGAAGAAGATAAAGAAGAAGGAAGATGAAGAAAAAGAAGAAAAAGAAGGAAAAGAAGAAGATAAAAAAGAAGAAAAAGCAAAAGAAATGGAAGAAAAAGAAGAAGATGAAGTAGAAGAAGAACGAGAAGAAAAAGAAGATGAAGAAGAAGATAGAGAAGAAGGAAGATGAAGAAAAAGAAGGAAAATAAGATGAAAAAGAAGAAAAAGTAAAAGAAGGAGAAGAAAAAATGACAACAATAAAAAAAGGAGAAGGAGGAAGAGGAGAAGAAAAAGAAGAAAACCGGTAGAATAATGAGAAGAAAGAATGAAAAAAGATTAGAGAAATAAAAGAATGTGATAATAAAACAATTAAAATCAGAAGACTGCTAAAAAATGGAATGTATGAAATTTCGTGAAAAACTAAGATAGAAAACAAGGAAAAACATAAAAAAGCTCAGATCGGGTGTTGTTGTTGTTGTTGCTGGTGTTGTTGTTGGGGGGGATATCTTCGTTTTGGCAAATAGTGAAATACCCTATTTGCCTGAGATAACAAAATAGTTTCATCATTGCATAAAAATTAATTGTGGCTTCACTTATCACCGTTGAACAAATGCGGAAACGAGCAGAGAAAATAGTTTGTGATAAAAATGACACGGACTTTCCTTCTTCGTTTGTCACAGAGTTCCTCCTAATTTCTCTGATTAGATTAAGGCCTAAGCTTTATTGAATTCGGATGTCGTAAGGCGATTACGCATGTTTTTTTGTTGTGTAAAACATTCAAAAACGCCGTTTCTGCTTATTCGTACATTATCTTTCTCCCCATCCTTTTCATTTCATGAAGTCTCCATTGCAAAGGATTCCCTCATTTCTCGTCGTCTCGTGTTTCTTTCTTAATTTGCACTACTTCTCAAATCATTTCATTCTCTTTCTTTTTCTTCCTTTATATGATGCCTGTTCTTTTATATATTACGTTTCTTTCCTTTTATTCACCTTTATTCTCTCTTCATTTCTTTCCTTTTATCCACCTTTATTCTCTCTTTCGTTTCTTTCATTTTATTCACTTTTATTCTCTCTTTCGTTTCTTTCCTTTTATTCACTTTTATTCTCTCTTTCGTTTCATTCCTTTTATTTTTTTTATTCTCTCTTTTTCTTTTTTTTTCCTTTTATTCACTTTTTATTCTCTCTTTTCGTTTCTTTTTTTTTTTATTCACCTTTTATTCTCTCTTTTTGTTTATTTCTTTTTTCATCTTTTATTTCTTTTCGTTTCATTCCTTTTATTCACCTTTATTCTCTCTTTTGTTTCTTTCCTTTTATTCATCTTTATTCTCTCTTTCGTTTCATTCCTTTTATTCACTTTTATTCTCTCTTTCGTTTCATTCCTTTTATTCACTTTTATTCTCTCTTTCGTTTCATTCCTTTCATTCACCTTTATTCTCTCTTGCGTTTCTTTACTTTTATTCACCTTTATTCTCTCTTTCGTTTTTTACTTTTATTCACCTTTATTCTCTCCTTCGTTTCATTCCTTTTATTCACCTTTATTCTCTCTTTCGTTTCATTCCTTTTATTCACCTTTATTCTCTCTTTCGTTTCTTTCATTTTATTCACCTTTATTCTCTCTTTCGTTTCATTCCTTTTATTCACTTTTTATAAAAAAAAAAAATTTTTCCATTTATTCACCTTTATTCCCTCCTTCGTTTCATTCCTTTTATTCACCTTTTATTTCTCCTTCGTTTTTTTTCACGAATTTTTATTCACGTTTTATTCTTTTCTTTTCGTTTCATTCATTTATTCACCTTTTATTCTCTCTTTTCCTTTTTTTTAATTTTTTATTCACTTCTTTTATTCTCAATTCTTTTCGTTTCATTCTTTTTATTCACCTTTTATTCTTTCTTCGTTTCATTTTTTTATTCACCTTTTTATTCTCTTTTTTTCATTTTTTATTCTTTTATTCTCTGTTTTCTTGTTTTCTCCCCATTTATTCACCTTTTATTCTCTTTTTTTCGTTTTTTCCCTTTTATTCACCTTTATTCTCTTTTTTTCTTTCTTTTCATTTTTTTTTATTCATTTTATTTCTTTTTTCTTGTTTGTTTTCTCTTTTATTCACCTTTTATTCTCTCTTTCGTTTTTTTTTTTTATTCACCTTTATTTCTTCTTTCGTTTTTTTCCTTTTATTCTTTTTTTTCTCTCTTTTTTTTTTTTCATTTTATTCACCTTTTATTTTCTCTCTTCGTTTTCATTCCTTTTTATTCTTTTTTTTTATTTTTCGTTTTTTTTTTTTTTTCCTTTTTTTATTTTTTTATTCTCTTCTTTTTTCGTTTCTTTCCTTTTATTCATCTTTTATTTTTTTTTTTCGTTTCATTCCTTTTTTATTCATTTTTTATTCTCTTTTCTTTTTCTTTCCTTTTATTCACCTTTTTTTATTTGAATTTTCGTTTCATTTCTTTTATTCTTTTTTCTTTTTCTTTCGTTTTCTTTCTTTTATTTTTATTTATTCTCTTTTCGTTTCCCCTTTTTTATTTTTTTTTTATTCTCTTTTTTATTTTTTTCTTTTTTATTTTTTTTTTTCTTCTTTTCGATTCTTTCCTTTTTATTCACCTTTTTTTTTTTCTTTTTTTCATTTTTTTTTATTCTTTTTTTTTTATTTCGTTTCATTTTTTTTTATTAAATTTTTTTATTTTCTCCTTTGTTTCTTTCCTTTTATTCACTTTTTTTTCTTCTTTTGAAATTTTATTTTCATTTTTTTTTTATTTTTCTTTCGTTTCATTCTTTTTTTCTTTCTTTTATTCTCTTTTTTTTTTTCTTTCCTTTTATTCCCTTTTTTCTCTTTTTTTTTCTTCCTTTTTATTTTTTTTCTTTCTTTTTTTTTTTTTCTTTTTTATTCTTCTTTTTTTCTCTTTCGTTTTTTTTTCTTTTATTCTTTTTCTTTTTTTTTTTTTATTTTTTTTTTTCTTTTTATTTCTCTTTTTTCTTTTTCATTTTTTAATTATTCTTTTTATTCTTTTTTTTTTTTTCTTTTTTTTATTTTCTTTTATTTTCTTTTTTCATTTCCTTTTATTTTCTTTTTATTTTTTCTTTTCTTTTTTTTTTTTTATTTTTTATTCTTTTTTTCAGTTTTTTCTTTCGTTTCATTCCTTTTATTTTTTTTTTTTATTCTTTTCTTTTTTTTTTTTTTTTTTTTTTCTTTTTTTTCTCTCCAATTCTTTTTTTCCTTTTTATTCTTTTTTTTCTTTCGTTTTTTTTTTTTCTTCATTTTTTATTTTTCTTGATTTTCATTTTTTTTTTTTTTCTTTTTTTCTTTCTTTATTCTTTTTTTCTTTTTTTTTCTTTTTTTTTCTTTCATTTTTTTTTTCAATTTTTTTTTTTTTTTTTTTTTTTTTATTATTCTCTTTCATTTTTCTTTTTTTTATTCTTTTATTTTTTTTTTTTTCTTTTTTTTTTTATTTCAGTTTTTTTTTCTTTCTTTCTCTTTTTTTTCTTTTATTCTTCTTTTTATTTATTCTTTTTTTTTCTTTTTTTGAATTTTTTTATTCTTTCTTTTTTTTTTTTCTTTCTTTTTTTTTTTTTTTTTTCTTTTTTTATTTTCTTTTTTTTTTTTTTTTTATTTTCTTTTTCTTTTTTTTTTTTTCTTTTTTTATTTTTTATTTTTTATTCTTTTTTTTTTTTTCATTTTTTTATTTTATTCTTTTTTTCTTTTTTTCTTCCATTTTCTTTTTTCTTTCATTTTTTTTTATTCTTTCATTTTTTTCTTTTATTTTTTTTTCTTTCTTTTCTTTTTTTCTTTTTTTTTTTTTTTTTTTTTTTTTTTTTTTTTTTTTCTTTTTTTTTTTTTCTCTTTTTATTTTTTTCTTTTTTTTTCTCTCTTTCTTTTCATTTTTTTTTATTTTTTTTTTTCTTTTTCATTTTTTTTTTCATTTTTTTTCTTTTTTCTTTTTTTTTTTTTATTCTTTTTCTTTTTTCGTTTCTTTTCCTTTTTTCTTTC